CCAGCAGCTACGGGCTCCGGCCGTGGCTGCAGCGATTCAGTCCCCGCAGACTGGCCCTCAGTGATACACCCCAAGGCTTGACAGGAACTGAATATTTTGAGAAAGAACTCAGCAAATATAGCTTTTGCATTTCCTCGGGTTTATGGGTGTGAGGTCAGTTTGCTACTAGTTTACAATATAACATTTCTAAGAGATATGCTAATGCTTCGTGAAATTTAAATGTTACTTTTGATCTATTCCATACTATAAACCCACAGTTAAATTTATGAAGTGGCAATAATCAGAGGGTTTTTCAGTCTTAATGTAAATGAATTCCCACATGCCCACGAGTAAACAAGCAGCATGGATTTGGTTCCGTACCAACAGCAGCTTTGCTGCGAGCCCAGGCAGCAGGAACCTGTCCTGCTTCTGCTCCCTGCGATGTCTATCTGTTACTATACCTCTTCAAGCATGATGCACAGCACAGCCAGTGGCACAGGCGTTCTGGGTAGCACCCTGGGATGGCCAGAGGGTCTGGCCGTTCCCCTGAGGCAAAGCAAACACTTGGAAGGCCATGCAACAGTGAAACAGTCACCCAAAAGTGCATCTTCCCCAATAAAGGTGTTTAGACTCTATCACCCACAATTTAAGCCTGTCAACAGCACTGGCTGCGCAGAGTGAAGGGCTTTATGTACCAAAAAGTGCTAATGAACCTTTTGGACTACCAGCTGAATTTTTCATTAGCAATATTTCCATTTGGGATTTCTTCACTATGATTCAAAACTACTTCACTGGCTTTTTATTTCGTGTTTCGTGCTCCACTCAACAAACTGCACCTGCCTTGCAATCCCTACAAGTAGCCCTGATGCCAGTAATGTTACTGTGGCAGCTGAGGTTTTAGGTTCTTAACCCACTTAAAAATAATTCATTATTAACATTTGGGAAAAAATATCGCAGAGACATTTCCTGGTAGGTTACATGTAAGTGCTGCCACCAACTATGAGCATCGCTGAGGCATTTTAATTTTACTAGGGAACCAGCCAGTTGTTGGGACTCATATCTCAATGGATATTTAATTAATTTCTAGAAACAGACGGTTCTGGAAACGTTAACGATGTCTGTCACAGAGAGATCACAATTTCTGAAAAGCATATACCTGTTCCAAAATGGTGTTGATTCTGTCTACTTCACAGTCAATTAAGTATCTTTTTTCTTGCCGCCTGTCCATCTCCTCTATAATTCTTCTGAACTCTTGAACATCCTTTATGCTTCCTACAGATCTGGCTGTCACTTGCCAGTTGTTCTGTACTGCTGCTTCCATAATTGCCTGAAGAATGGAAAATCCTGTAGGGGGAAGAGACAACGCAACCATTTAAAAACAGAACACAAATAAAACCTATTTTGAATGTTTGACAAAGGACTCACAAAAATTTGCATCATCTGAAGGGGCACAGACTAGCTAATAGCTTGCAAGTGCTTCACTTCTGGAGAAAGCAACAGCGTAGGGACCAGTTTCTTCTGTCAGCTACGCTACTGCCGAAGTCACTGACTTCAGCAGAATCGCTCAGCGGTATATTACTGTGAGGCGTATCAGAATCTGTCCAATATATCATATTATGATCCTCTCAGGGATGTTTATGGTCGTGCTGGGGTCCGTGCCAGCTGAGAATGGGAGCCTGCAGCCATTACTTGGGCAGAAGTCCATCAGCTTGAAGAGCCGGACAGAAGGGGTAATTTGCCTGTGCAGACTGCAGCGATGGGTCATTAACTGGCAAAGATCCAAGCACCACACAAGAATGCCAATTAAGTCATTGTACTGGGTATCAGAGCCACGAACCACAGGAGAATATTTTACTGATGTTCACTCTGATTTCAAAAAATGTTTTTAAATATGGAGTCTAGCAGCATTAACCACACTTCCAATGCTTTCATTAAGGTAATACCAACTCATTTAGCAGCCTCAACAGAGGAGAGAAGCAGCACAGAATGACCAAAGACTGCACAGTGGGAAATTCCACAAGCAAACAGCATTTCATTTCTTGTGAACAGCCGTGCCTGGGCGCAGACAGAACTCAAGTCAAGTCCCCAAGCAAAAGGTGGTGGAACTGGGAACAGAAATCTTCAAGTCATGCTACGTAGGAGTCATCAGAAATTGATTTGTATCCCTTTATTACAGTATATAGCTGGGAATTTGGTGAATTCCCTATTTTGATTCAGAAATTAAAATGTTTGCATATTTCTAATTGTTTCAAATCTGGGCAGATGCCAGTCAAAGAGAGAGGTCATCTACTTCAAGCACACACAGTGGCTTCCAGTGGAGTTTCTTTGTACAGAAGCATCCATGTGAACTGTATTTCTGTGCAGATAATTTATTTGCAAAACTTTCAGTCCAATCATTTAGTCATACTGTGGATTTCTTATCCACCAGCGGATTTCAGAGCTCAGAACATCTTCACACACAAACAGATAAACATATAGGATCAACAATCAATTAATTGTGCTCTGTGATAACCAGTCCCCTACACTTCTAAAACTGAAATGAGTTTGGGCTACAGAGGAACAACATGTTCACTGCTTCAAATTATACCAATAGTTCTTCTGAACTCAGATATCATTGTAGGGGTACACTGATAACAAAGAACTTGTGCTGCAGTCTGATCTTCCGTAGCCTGCTGTAAAGCTGTAGTGGCTGTCTGAAGCCAGAGGAGCTGCATCATTACCTCATTACAGACACAAACAAGGCAAGAGTGTGATTTTCTAGATTGCAGTTAGCTTATTGTAATTTACCATGTGACTTCCTTAAGTCTCACTCAAATGCCCTCACTTTCCCTGTGCAGCCTCCTTGATTCTTAATGCTTTTCTTTGTATGAATGCACTCTACTATGCCGTGAAACGTGGTGACAATTAATATGAATACTGGTTGGGAATTCTTTCTGGCATCTTCTTTCCCCTGAGACTATTGAAAGGGAGGCCTTTACATATGTATAGTACAATGAACTCAGTCTTCCTTAACATCATATTTTTAAAAAAAATGGCTGTGATGTCTGTGACAGCATTGTGATTTCATTACATGTAGGAGGAAGATCTAAGCCTAAGATATTTGGCTGGCTGCAAACAAGGAATTTTGATGTGGGAACATAAATGCCACTAATGGGGATTTACAAATGCTTTGTGTACAAAGATGTGCTTTTAAAAAAATATGATTCCACTAAGTAATGAATATTTACAACTTTGTTTCATCATTCATATAATGTCTAAGTATGAACCTTGAGCTTGCTGTAAACAACAGAAAACAGTCCATTAAGTCTTTTTTTTCACTCCAAATCAAACACAATGGTTCAACACACTAGAAAAAAACACGACACACTAAAAAAATCTATAGCTCTTTTTTTTTCTAATAACATACACAAAACTTATGAATTGTCTCAGGGAACTATGAAAATGAACATGCTGGAGAGCAGATGCCACTGGTTGACTGCCATGCACCCGGTTTCAGCTAACACTGCTTGAGTCAGAGCTCGCTTTGTCAAACCTGGAATATCTCAGAAGAAAGCTGGGCAATTTTCCTAATTTTGTGCAATTACATGTTTGTATGGGTGCGGGGGTGTGTGTTTTTGCATGCATGTGTATTAGTCAGTGCTTACCATTTCGAGAAAGAGAAGAGCAAGGTTAGTCAGCAGCCTTTCTTCTATGCATGAAAATACAATTACAGTAATCTTAGCGTGAACAAGCTCCAGCGCTTCATCATTTCTGTCTTCTCTACCTCCTGTTTCTCCTTGTCACGCCAAGTCTTTACAGTCACAGTCCCCTCTACCCTTGTCAGTTCTTGAAATCCTCCCTACAGCCCCCATCCGTGCTGTGCCCGCTCGCCGCTCCGGGGCCCCGTCCCTCTCCCGTCCTCACTCGCAGACGTACCATTTGCCCTTCCTGCGACGGCTCGTTAGGCCAGTCCTCTGAGGACCTTTGCAAAGCCCATTCCCCTTGCTTTACAAAAGCATGCTTCAAACCTCCTGCCCTCAGGAAGGAGGCACGCTCGCATCTTCGCAAACGGCCGGTCGCTGTTCCCAACCTCCAGCCTCTCTCGACGCCCACTGCCTTCAGCCCCATTTACTCCATTTTACGTTGTCACCCATTACGTGATATTTCTGTAAACAACATGTTCCAGGCTCCAGCTGTACTTTACCATCAAGAGAGCTGTTACATAAGCAGTGTGATTGTTTAACTAAAAGGACCGTTTTATCTTCAAATGTGAACTTTTCTTTCTCCTTAGCATAACAATGCAAGCTGTGACAGTTCCGGGGTACTGCCTGGGCAATGAATGGGGAAATTATTTTCGCTATTTTGTGCACGTCAGTGACCAGACCGGTACACCGAACTTTTCCATTCCCTACCCCTCTGTAAACACGCCACGTGAATGCTTCACAAAAGATGCTTGCCCCTGAGCACCCCGGAGGTGCTGAACTCCCATGGGTGCCTCTCATCTCGTTCGCCTCAAAGGAAACCAGCCAGTCACGGCAATTATCTCTATTTTGTAGTTTTCCTATGGTCTGCATCAGGTCTATCCTGAAAGACTAAAGGATTGATAATTCACCACAGGTCTGTGAAGAAGCCATGCAGAAAGGCTTTCATTAATACTGTTGCTGGCTTATACTACTGCAATCAATACAAAATACTAGATACAACAAGAAAAACTGACATCTTCCTAGAAGATTACAGCAACGAGATCATCTCAAAACAGGTTCATAATACCATTACTAAAATTCAGTCTCATTAACACAAATATAGACAACAGGAAAAATTCATTCAGACCCCAATCTGATCTTTCAACCTCTTTTTTCTCAGTCATACCTTGGATGTGACAAAGCAGCAGGACGGAAGGCACGCATTTTTCCGGAAGCTCTGCTTCTGAAGCTAGCTCGTCTGATGGCACCGCATCCCTTCACTGCACTATGGTATTAACATGTTGGCATTACCGATTTACAAATGAGTCTGGTCGCACGATGGCGATGCCGGCACTTGCCAGGTGCTGGAACAGACCTGTATTATATTTTGGTCCCTTTTCGCCAGGTACTGGGGAGGGGTTGCTCCTGTGATCTTTGAATGCAATCACACGAGTCAATCTGATCTCCACTTAATAAAAGCTTAGGCAATCCTGGCTTTAATATTCAAATGTGTCATTGTACGACTTACTCTTAAAATACTGATGATTTAGAAGAGCTAACCCTCATCTAAATAGTCTACAAAATGATTGGGCTGGAGGCAACTATAGTAAGAAAATTAGAACAAAACAAGTGCCCAGCTTACTACTCAGTGAGCTGAAGCAAGTATTTTGAGTTTTGCAAAGGTTGCAAAAGAGGGAAAATATTCAATATAAATTTCCCTCAAAGCAGGGAAAATATTATTTGTTGCAATGCTGTCTCCGTACTTCAAACAACCCAGACAGGATTACATTCTAGGCAGTCCTCCCTGCAGCTGGACTAAGACACAAATTCACCCAGTATCTTCACACCTCTGCCAGGGAAGCAAAGCCTGTATCTCAGTCTTTCAGATCACCCCTCTGATACAAGCATCTCTCAACTGACCCTACTAACACAGGTGAAGAGGACATTTCACTCTTTTGCATCTACAAAAGCTCAGGAAACTTTTTCCACATCCATGTAAGCAAAATTTGTCTGAGCAGTTTGCTCAGCCAGATGAAATTCTATGGACTAAATCATCAAACTTACTCATTTTAAATAACAGCAATCGTTAATGTGTCATGAGTAAATGACCACACTGGAACATCTGTGGCATCACGTGAGCCCTCGCAATTGGCACCAAAGTACTTAGTGAAAAAAATTACCCACTTATGTAAATCACTCTTTTCCTGAATGTTCCTGATAAGATCTTGGACCTTAGCCTCCTATTGGAAATGAAAGAGCATTTGCTTGCAGTCCCTCTTTCTTCTGCCTTGCTCAGTACCAAAGATCTTTGCCAGGTCTATTTTCCTGGCACGCAGCACGTTTGTGTCAGCTGAATGATCAGCTCTGATCTGAATACGTGTGTTTTGAACTACATATCTGGGTCATGATACAAAGAACTAAGATTCTGGCCTGTGAGTCAACTCCAGGGATTTAAGCGTAGAGTTGTGTTTGACAACGGCACAACGAACTCACCAGAAATGAGGTCGCCAAGGCAAGTGCTTCCCCAAGACAAACACAAATTCTATGACGCCAGCTTACATTTCAAGCGTACCAGAGATCTGTAAGTTGAGATACACTTGGATATTCTGTGTGTTTGGCACTGAGCCTAGCACTAATTTAAAAGCAAACAGATCAGCATGTTAGGTGTGAGTAAAAAACAACTACCCAACCCAATCTAAACACGTCAGGCAAGTATGCTTTGCATAACCTACGTCTGCTTAACAATTTTACAGTAGCAAGGAACAAGCTATTAAATTAGTCACCAGTAAGAGATGCAGCAAATGACACTACACTGGAGTGCACTTTCAGTCTAACACATGTAAGTTCAAATTATTAAATAAAATAGAATAACTGCATTCCATCTGTTTTTGACCGGATCACTTCTGTCTGGTAACCAGCGTGTAAAGTGTTACACTCTGCTATTCTGGTAGCAAACAACCTTCTAGACCAAGCAGCAAACACATTCTGATGTTATTTCTTTCTTTTGCTTTTCCTGTTCAGTAAATCTCTAGTTTCCCCTGTACATATATTACATTATTGCAGCCTCTCTTCCATAAACAGAGAAATCTACACAAATAGGTATGTCAGCTGGGTTGTGTGAATGTGAACTTGCCTGGCTCTACAGCAGAATTTACAGGAACCATCTGGTCCGCATTTGCTTGGGATGGGACACAGCTAAACATGCAAGAATTCAGATCTGCTGAATGCAAGACTTTTTTTTCTTCTTCTTCTTCTTTCAAATGGCTCTTTCTGAACGCATGTCACCTTCATCTGTTCTTTCATAACAACCTTGCTTCTCATTCACCCCTCATTTTACTCAAGTTCTAGGTCAGTGCAACTCAGTGTTTTTGAATGAAGCTGCACCAGTGTAAAATGAGAGTAATGTAGTAAGGGACCAAAGAGTACAATAACCAAGGGCAGACATAAGATGCCGTAAGCAATGCTGTCACCTCTGTAAGGGGACTTTTACATATGACTTTCACAATGACGCGGCCAAGTCTCTTGGTGTAGGAGAGAGAGGTATACCTCAATACAACAATATGATCCAAAGCTTATCGAAAGACCTGTGTTCTAGCTTGAGCTTTGCTATGCAAATCTTTATTTAAATATCTCCAAGGGAATAATAATTGAGTGATTATAGTTTCTGGATGCAGATGGGTAACAAAACAGATGAGATGGGAACACTTTAAAACCAGAGCAGGTTCTGCTTGAGGAGACTGTAACAGGTAAACAGTTTTGCAGAGAAGGCAGAAGAACTAGCACAGAAAACCAGAGAAAGGAATAATGTATTCTGAGAAGTGACAGAAGGTGAAGAGCATTGTGCTGACCAGTGGGCATGGGCTGTAGGGTATCCTCCCTGTATTTATTACCAAGAACTCTTGATACTGATGGTATCAGAAAGCTGACAGAGGTAGTGGTGAGGGCATTCTGTCACCAGAGGATGCTGAGATCTCGGAGACAAGCGCCTAGGGGTAGTGGAGAGCCCTCCCAAATGGAAAACTTTTTTACATGCAAATGGAAAAATGGTAAAACTACATTAGAATTAAAAATAACAGAAAATAGAGACATGAAGTTGTGTAAGGCATCATCATGTAGGTATCACTCCTAACTTTTACCTGCATTTGAGAAACTCAAAGAGAACAAAAATCCCAATGTGTTGACTAGCACTCAACTGATGAGCCTAATTACTGCACGTCAAAAATACATATCTAATTGTGTTTACATATTTATCTCAGCAAAAAGATTCTAATTAGGAATCACAGAGTTAGCAATTATCAGGCTGGAAAAGAAAACCTAACTTGTCTGCAAAACAACCGTAGCACATTCCATGTGAACCCAGTTCTCAAAGGGAAAGCTTACAAAAACCGAAATCAGAGCATACGTAGATGTTGCAAGACGTGGTGAATTCAACACATCTTTTGTTGACAATACTGACTTTGAGGAGATATATTTGGCCTATCGTATGACTTGCAGAAAAACAGAAAATGAAAAGCCACCTGATAAATAATGCACCAGCGTGCTGCTGCTCAGTGATGAGCCAAGCTGTTGAACTACCTTCCTCAAGGCTTGACTGTGGCTGGTCTGAGCAAGGTGGTGCAATGAACACTGTCTTCATTTCAGAAACAAAAGATCTGCTCTAGTAGTATACAACGCTAACGTTGGACTTCTCCCTGGCATTGATTTCCTATATGGATTTCCTTCCTCTCTTCAATGAGTCTGCAAAACTCCTGATGAATCTCTGCCTTAATGACACATTTTAGCCCAGCTTCATTGTTTCAGAAGTACATCATACCTGGGCCTGTATCTCCCGCAGAGCGGCCTACACGTACACAAAGCAGTGCACTTCTCACGAGATGTTTTTGCGTCATCCAGTTTTCAGCAAATTCTTACAAAAACATTGACAATGTTAACAACAATGCTAAATAACACTCAAAGCAGTGCAAGTTAACATATTTATTATCAACATTCCCATATGAAATAGGCAAATAATAAATTCAACATAGAATGAAAAAAAAAAAAAAAAGATTTGGCCTATCCCATACAGAGAATTAGTAATAGAGTGAATTTTCAAATTCAGGTTTTCCTGATTCATATCTAGATTTATTTTTATTTCAAGCGGGATCATAGTCGAACATATACTTTTAACGATTTCTATACTGCCTACAAACACACTAGCCACTGAAATTATACAGCAAAAACATCAGTATGGGATCTCAGAATACATTTGCCTCATCTTATTTGCTAGAGTAAACTGAGTAGCTACCTAGCTCCCAGTGAACTGGGACACTGATGGAAAGCGTTATTTATTATTTCAGGTAAAGCTGCGCAATTGTGATACAATTACAAATAGAGTTGAAAAGGAGAGTATTGTGTGGAATTATCATGTGAGAAAGGACGTAAAAATGAATTCTTTTTTAAGCTTAA